TAGCAGCCATCTAGTTCAAAGTACAAGGTCAATCTGGAACGAGTTACCTCTGCTTGTCAGACAGGCCCCTCCCTCTCAGTTTTCAAGTCCTGTTTAAAAACTCTCTACTATTCAGTAGCTTTCAACACCAGATGATCTGTGTTTGATCCTGTATGCTCCACACTGGTTTGTCGTCATTATGTGCATCGTTTTTATGTCTATATTCTGATTTAGTTCATTTTGTATTTTGCTTTGTGTGTTACCTGTTTTTCTGTCTGTACAGCACTTTGGTTGGTCTTGTAGCTGTTTTAAGTGCTCTATAAATAAAGTGGAATGGTACTTAATAACATCAAATGTAGGACTCAAAAGGAAATAAATAAATAAACATGGCACAGAACAGCAGAAAAAACAGCAACAACTGCCATAATCCCTGACTCGCAGATCAAAAGTCTGAGTTGTGATGCCTTAAACCGATTCCTCTCCTGCATTGAAAGACAAATCCAGAAAAATGTGTAGAGCATCGAAGCGCCGGGGGGGTTTGAGAGTAGTTCTCATTTCCACGGACTCTTAAAAGCCACAAAAGTCAGAAACAAAACAAAACAAAAAAATAACCCAGAGGAATGTAGATGAAGATCCAGATTAGCTCCAGTGAAGCTCTAGTGCAGACAACAGTACTCCGAACAGAACCTCTGTGCCGAGAGAATTCCTGCACTTGCAAGCTGTGCTCAGCCGACCACTGAGGCTGGAAGTAGTGAAGATTTTTTCCAACATATTGGAGAGTGGACCTTCAGAGTACCAGCAAAAAACCACACAATGGTCCTGAATGAGTCCAAATAATCCAGAGGAATCCGAATAAGGGCAGCACGGTGGCGCAATTGGTAAAGCTGCTGCCTCTCAGCGAACTGGTCCCGGGCTCAAATCCCGGTCTGGGGACCTTTCTGGGTGGAGTTTGCATGTTCTCTCCGTGCATGTGTGGGTTTTCTCCAGATACTCCAGTTTCCTCCCACAGACCAAAAACATGCATGTTAGACTGATTGGTAACTTTAAATTGTCCTCAGGTGAGAGAGAGAGAGAATGGTTGTTTGTCTCGTTTGTCTCTATGTGTCCCTGTGATGGACTGGAGACCTGTCCAGGTGTACCCCGCCCCTCGCACAGTGATTGCTGGACATGGGCACCAGCAACCCCCGTGACCCAAAATGGAAGAAGTGGGTAAAAAATAATGGATGGATTGAATCCAGATGAAAAAAAGGTCAGATGAGCTCTGGGGAAGACAATGGACCTTCGAACAATGTCTCCCGCCCAAGACGACACCTGCTGTTTGGAAGTTTCTGTGGACTTTTTTCTTGCAAGTATCCAGAAGTCTGATACAAATAAATTGTTTATGTGAAAGGAAAACAATGTGTTAGATATTTATCTAGACTGGTCCTGGGGGTTTTGATCTACTCAAGGACAGGATTATAATGAAATTATGACCCAGTTCTGACTGGGTTAAACGGTGCCAGCAACTCTAAAAGAGTCTCCCAGGGATTCAAGAGCCATCAAGGAATAGAGTTTATTTTTGCTTGCTACATCACGTAGAAAGGCTTTTGAAGCACCGTCTCATCTTTCCTTACACGTGAAATCACATAAGATCCGTTGAGATCACACTTAGTCACGCCCCTCATACACGTGACAGGTTGAGCTCCCCTTCTGCGAAGGAGGAGTCTAGGCCCTATAAATCAGTAATGACACGGGACATCAGCCCTTCCGGTTGCTGATCTTGTGTCATAGACCGGAGAGGCCAGCGCTGTAAACTGTAATCTTTTCCTGCCTTGATTTTAATACAATTGGTAAAACTGAATTCATGTTTCCTTGATTTATTTTTAGTGTGAGTTGCCGCTTCTGAGGGAGGTTCGAGCCGGGGGGGGGGGGGAGCGACGTTGGCTGGAGGCGGGTCCTGAGTCTGAGAGGAGGCCTGAGGCTCCCGGCTAGCAACAGCTAGCTGCAGTGACCGGTGACCTGCAGCCAGCCCGCGTTCGTAACAAATGCCACCCTATTTTTTAATGTAAGAACCTAAGAACAGGCTCCTGAACGCATCTTGCCGCGTTTTAATGAACTGTGATCGTCTTTTTAAGAGTCGGTGACAAAATAGATATATGGTGCGTTTATGAAGAAGCAGCTCAGTTATTAGGGCTTTGCTGACCATCAGTGTCTGTTCGGTGCGTTGAGTTTAAGCACCTTAAAAAGTGTTTAACAATAAAAATCAATGTTGTGAATTCAATGAATATTTACCATGTTTTAACTTGTGGTCACATGACCTCAATAAGAATTCTGGGTAAAATGTACAGATATTTAATTTTTTTAAATAATTTCAGTTGTGTAGGTGTTTAGCCCTGTTCTGTCCAGTGATTATGTTTAGATAATTCTTGTCTGCATTTTGTAGGTTGAATGGTTTTAACCTTGAGTCAGACAGCGAAGCATCATGAAGACTTACGACGATCCTGCAGTCTGAACGTGTGTTGAAAGCAAACTATATTCTGTGAAACACCATCTGGTGTGTAGGATCTGGGCCGAGTCCGTCCCTGAAACTGGGCCGACTCCCCACCATCGGCGCCTGGTTCTTTTATTCCCAGATGGAAAGGAAACTTGCTCTAACTCAAATAAATCAAGAGATATAATTTCCATTTACCAATTTAATGTTCATCAGGAAGGAAAAAGTTACAGGTTCAGCGCTGAGGCGTCCGTCCAACTAGTCTTAACCCGGCAGCGGAAGCAGAAGCCCCATGTAACAGAACGCCCCAGCTTATATTGGCCCTCGACTTTGCCTTCACATCCGGGAGCACAGCCTCTCAGAGTGTGTCAGTGGGGTGACCATGTGTGACGTCATTGGTCTTATCTGTTTCTGGATGGTGAAAAATGGGGTGAAATGCAAATCTAACTATATGATGGACGCCAGCAAAATAAAACAAATTACTCCATATTGTGTGTTGAAATATGGGAAGCTCACTCAGAGCAGCTGGGCCCGTCTCATCTGTAAAGAACCAGGCCATAACTGGGCCACCTCTGAGCAGACAAGACCGGGGGTCTCGGCATGATAAAGTAAGATAACTCTAACGGGTGGCTGATTCTTGTACTACAAGAAAGCTGCACACTGTCGGAGCTGGCTGGGCACAGATCCTGACAATGAACAGTGGACGCCTGTGGCTTTCTCAACTGTCTGTGTCACCTAATATTGTTTTATTGGGAGATTTTAACATTCATATTGACAATCTTAACTCCCACTCACCAATTATTTTTTTATCCTGCCTGGAGAGTTTTGGATTCAATGAACTTGTTGCTTTTCCCACCCATATCAGAGGCCATACATAAGCATGGCTTACCATTTAGAACTGATATTGTAAAATCATCCAAACCATCCATGATTTTCTTGTGTGTTCTTTTTAACTGCACTTTTTCCTGAGGACAGAAAGAAACATGTTTAGTCAAGCAAAGGAAAAACTGAACCAACTTACTCTGGCTTCTATAGTCTAGACACAAAATAGCACATTTGGCAGCTGGACGAGGAGCAAAAGACAGGCTGAGTAAAGCCCAAGTTAATTTCCTGGTTAAGATGAACTAATATTCGTCCTGATGCATGGTCAATAATCTACTAAACTAATATTACTGTAATTTATCACTTAAGATAACGATGCAACCCCAGCTTAACAAATTTGTTCACCAACAAAATCAAATAATGCCCAACAGCTTGTCATATCATTCAACCATTACCAAAGTTATGTGCCAGGTCATCTCTAACAATAATTATTTCTTAGCTCAGATCAGCAAGGTTCACGTGAACTGATTCATGTTCATACAAACCGGATTCCAAAAAAGTTGTGACACTAAACAAATTGTGTGGAGGTGCCAACATCTAATATTTTATTCAGAATAGAACACAAATCACAGATCAAAAGTTTAAACTGAGAGAATGTTTCATTTTAAGGGAAAAATCTGTTGTTTCCAAATTTCATGGCGTCAACAAATCCCCAAAAAGTTGGGACAAGTCCATTTTTACCACTGTGTGGCATCCCCCCTTCTTCTTACAACACTCAACAGACGTCTGGGGACAGAGGAGACCAGTTTCTCCAGTTTAGAAATGGGAATGCTCTCCCATTCATGTCTAATACAGGCCTCTAACTGTTCAATCGTCTTGGGCCTTCTTTGTCGCACCTTCCTCTTTATGATGCGGCAAATGTTCTCTATAGGTGAAAGATCTGGACTGCAGGCTGGCCATTTCAGTACCCGGATCCTTCTCCTACGTAGCCATGATGTTGTGACTGTTGCAGAATGTGGTCTGGCATTATCGTGTTGAAAAATGCAGGGTCTTCCCTGAAAGAGATGACGTCTATGGGAGCATATGTTGTTCTAGAACCTGAACATAGTTCTCTGCATTA